TATGAAGGGCTTTTTGTGTTCAACACGGCCATAATACCCAAATTTTTTTTTTAAATTTTTCGAACTGTATCAGTGCAGAGGGTCTTTTTAAAACTTTCCTTTATATTTTCAGCAATTTTTGATGAAGTTAGTCGAAAAAAACAATTTTACCAGATTTTAATTTATTTGAATGCTTCGAGATTATGCAATAGACTTTCAATAAAGTGCTTACTGTGATAAAGCTCAAAAATTTAATATATAAAAGTAATTTTTTAAGAAAAGAAAATAGAATATTAGCATGTACGCAGACTTTTTCTGCCATGTGTACATAACGTGGTTGTATACATTCATTTGATCTTTTACAGCGCTGACAGCTAATGAATCTTTTTCTTATACAATTTCTGATGTTTTCGGTATCAGCTAACACCCGTAATGTCTGTCCGTTACTCGCTCTTACGATCATAAAGAATGGAAACGGTGAACTTTTTATGCAAAAAAAAAAAAGAAAAAAAAAACAGTGTTGGTATCTTTATCCGACATGATATTATCAAAAGTGCAAATGTCATTGTCTTTTTGATCCAATAGATCATTTACTTTCTCCTCTATATTAATATAAGAGTAGCTTACCAAATCAGTTTTGTTATATCCAGCCTCTCTCTGTTGTCTGTAGTCGGGTAAGTTTAAGTTTCCTCCGGCGTCAATTATTTGGTCATTATGACTTTGTGTATTCAAATGAAAGTATCGTTGCACCTTTGGTAATGGCCCTTGCTACGATCCAACTAATATCTTAACTATAGGGTTAAACCGTTGCTTGATTGCGCAATTGACCTGCCTTGGAGGTGGAGGGTATTCAAAGTTCGGCCCGGCCGAACTTAAATCTTTTTTACTTGTTTGATTATAGGGAGTTACCGGCGAAGGCAATTTTCTGTCATTCGAAGTGGTACCCATTGCCAACTCCAAATTTCGTTAAAACTTATTAAACAAACTTATCAAAATGCCGAGATACGTTGACCTCATTAAACATATTTCTGTCATAGGAAGAGCAACCCATTGCGAACTCCAAACACTAAATTTGAGAAAAAAAATAAAAGTGTCTGTAAAAATTATCAAAACACCGAATCCCGGGAATTACCGTTATATGGGGGCTACATGAAAACAAGGACATGAGGTCTACAAACACCAACTTTAAAACAATAGCAAACAAGTAAAGAACATTAAGTTCGGCCGGACCGAATATTACATACCCTTATTAGCTAAACGTGGACTTCTAGAGCCATTTATATGCCATATAAGGCCTTTTACAAAGTTTGAGATAATTCCGCTAAAAATGTTTCTTAAGTATAAAAATATTAAATATAGGCAGGTATCGTTTATAGGGGTTTACGAAGACGTCTATCTGCACAGAATTTTTTGTCATTGGAAGTAGGGCCTATTACAAACTCTAAATATCAAAACTCAAACAAATTCCGTAAAAAGTTTGACACAAATCGTCAAAATACTGATTTTCTGAAGACAGAGTTATATAGGGACTATACCAAAACTTGAACCTGAATAAACATTTCTATGCAAGGTTTTTTCCTTCACACTGGAAAAGTGTGGCCATTTTAGCATTTTTGCAGCTAAATTTAGCATTTATTTTTTGTATTTTCCATTTAGCATTTTTCTTAGCTTTTTATACCCTCCACCATACTCTGGAGGGTATATTAATTTTGTCATTCCGTTTGTAACTCCTCGAAATACTCATGTCAGATCCAACAAAGTATATATATTCTTGATCAGCTTAAAATTCTAAGACGAATTAGCCATGTCCGTGTGTCTGTTGTAATCACGCTATCTTTCGAACAAATTGAGATAGAAGGCTAAAATTTTGCACACATGTATATTTTGCCAGTAGGCAGGTTAAGTTCGTAAATAGGCAATGTAGGTCCAAGTTATCATATAGCCCCCATATAACGTTACCTCCCGACATTCGGTATTTTAATGATTTTAGCGACATTATTTACCGGGATTGTTTCAAATTTCGCATGTGAAGTTCGTTATGGATAGTTCAGCCCATGCCAGAAAATTGTCTGTGCAGGTCCACGTCTTCATATAGCCCCCATATAACGGTACCCCCTATATTCGACATTTTGATGATTTTAGCTACATCATAAACAGATTTTTCGTCAAGTTTCGCGTTTAAATATTGTAATAACTTATGACAAAAGTTGCCTATGCAGGTCCACGTCGTCGTATAGGCATTCGGTATTTTTAAGATTTTAACAGAATATTTCCCAATTTTTTTTTTTTTTTTTTTTTTGGAAATTGCCAAATTTGCACCAAATGGTGGAGGGCATTAAAAGTTCGTCCCAGCCGAACTTACAGCTTTTTTACTTATTGAAATTATTAGTTTAGCATTTTTTTTTGTCAAAAAATTTTTTATGCTGTAGTACTCTCTTAAATCCAATTTTTCTTAAATCTAAAAAATTAAATTACATTAACATTTTGAACGAAATTACTATTTTAGAAAAGCAAATTATAAGAAATTAAAAGTGCTTTAAATGAAAACCCGTTCAAGGCATTCTCTTCTTTTGTTATACGCAGAAGTTCGAAGAGTTTTTAGTGGCATGAACCTTATAAAAGCAGAAATTAGAAATAGAATGATATTATACACTATAAATTCACGTAAATATTAGGTTAAATAAAGGTTGCGAAGGTTTTAAGATTACAAACGATCTCATTCTAATCATCATTCGGTCTCTAATTTTCAAGTAGCAGGACTTAATACATTTTAATAAAATCATATAAAATTTAAAAACAGATGATGGACCTTATTGGTCCTCCTTCGGAATAACCTTCATGGATCTGGAACCAAATTCTTTTATCAAAAACCAGTCATCTCTAAAAATTTTCAAGTTTTGGATCGAAGTAATGCACATTCTTATAGAATTTGCCCTATATTAGAGCTTAAGAAAAGAGAGTCGTGCTATTCAGAACAATAATTGTAAATTAAGGTTTCTCTCTATGAATTGTTGTAAGAAAGATCAGAAGTGCGCCATTCGTGTATTTCTTATTTCGCCTGTAATTCACTTTCAGCATTTCGGTGGAATAGACATTTTGGCATTTTTTCCCACAAAAATTGGGGCCTATTTTATCCGCTAACTGTTATCCTATGGCCATCCAAAATGCTTGGAAGGGCCGATACCGAACTCCCACTTAAATTTTCCTAAGGATCGGACGATAATTATGACGTGTCAGCAAACTTTTAGTTTTTGGCCCATTTGAGCCCCTGAATATTTTGCGATCATCTCCAAAAATATCAGGCTTTTAGCAAATATATATCCCTAATATATCCGATATCTTCACTATCGACATTTAAGTAACGGTCAGAATTTACTATTTCGTCTATTTGCAATTTCACCGGGTCTATTTCACCCGCTCGATATTATCCGATGACCATCCAAATTGGAAAGCTTCTGCCCAGTCTTAAGCTCTAGCCCCATGCTAAATTCGGCGTCGATTGGTTTATAATTGTGACCTGTTGCGTGATTGCAAATTAACATAGGTAGTTCGGCTTAGTTTAGCGAGATTCGAAGATCAATATATACTTTCCTATGTGGGAAGCCAAAATTTCGAAATGTTACATAATTTTTGGCCCAATCAAACTTACTCCCAACACATAGTGTTGCAGGGATTAAAACGTATTTACATTTAGCATTATTTTTTGGCATTTTAATATTTTGTTTGGCATTTTTTAGCATTATTTTGATGCGTGTTAGCTGCAACACAACTTTAGATCTGAACTGAGAATACAAACTGCCAATAAAGAGAAAATTCTGGTTAAAATTGTGACTAAAACAACAAAATCTCATTTAATCTGCCGTAAAGTTACAAAGAGGCTTAACTAAAACGAGGACATATGTGGCCCGTTCCCAGTACTACATATTTCACGGACTTAAAAAAAGTGAAAAATATATTTGAAAAAAATGTCCTTGAAAATGTGAGTAAAATCAGTAAGGTTTCAAATATCGGTAGTTGGGGTTATAAGGGAGCTATAGAAAAATGTGGACGAAACCTTTGGTCCTTTGGTATTTTGTTAATTTTAGGCACATTTTTAATAAAATTGTTTGAAGATTTGAATTTGAGGTTCGTTATAGGAGCATCCCCTCTATGGCGGTATGCCTAACACATAAATATGGGGAATCTTGTGTCGGAAAAACTAAATAAAACCAGTAAAGAAAGTCTTAAAGTCGGGCGGGGCTTTACTAATTTAGTAGAGCTCCGCATAACAATTAAAAGTTCATACACGCTATGATTATAATTTAAAGTTCAAAGGACTAAATATGCCGAAGCATTTGTATCTTTTAAATTCGGACTTGTATTACCCATTTGGTGCACAATTAACTTGAAATCGGATAAAGATATATATGGGAGCTATATGCAAATCGGAACCGATCTCGACAAAATCTGGCAAAAATATTTCTAAGCTGTATTTGATATATTTCCCCAAATATTGTTGTTACAGAGTGCATATTACGGCTGCGGAGGACAAAAGTAACAAATCGGATGAACAATATATATGGGAGCTATAGCTATATCTGAACCGATCTTCACCAAATTACATACTAGCTTCTAGCCTCAATTCGGTCGTAAGTGCCAAATTCCATCCCATTTGGACAAATATTAGACGTTTGGTGCACAATAAAAGGTAAATCGGACGAATTTATATTTGGGAGCTATATCCAAATCTGAACCGATCTCGATAAAATTTAGCAAATGTATTTCTGAGTTGTATTTGATATATTTCCCGTTTGGTGCACAATAAAAGGCAAATCGGACGAAGATATATATGGAAGCTATATCTGAATTTTGACCGATTATCTCCAATTTCAGTAGGGTTCGTCCTTGGGTCAAATATTAATATTAACCATTACATATTAACCAATACATTACATTTTTCAATATCAAATACATTGGAGTAAGACCAATAATTGTATGACGATTCTATATACTACTTTTATGTATTTCTATTTCTTCCATAGGAATTACTACTACCACGCAATATTTCGCAAGGGGTAATAATTAGTAATCATTCGTTGGTACTACAAGGTGTTAGCAGAACAACAGCTGGAAATTTTTCTTGTGTTGGATTCAACAGTGAAGGGGAAGGATCGAGTCCGCCTTTCCCATTAAATATTTTATGTAAGTAATGTATGCATTTAGACGAATGTTACCAAAATGCCCGGAACCTACTAAATTTAAAACGTGAACAGTTTTGACAGAAGAATTTTTTTAGTTTTCCCTATATTCTATGATTGATACAAACATTTCTTAAAGAGCTTGGTGATGCAACACATAATTTAAACGATTAATTTTGTTTGTAATTGAAATAAAATATAAACATATAGCACTCACAAAAAAAATGATTATTGCTGATGATTTACATTTTAAGTTCGTAATAGTTAACTAATGGGGAATATTCAAAGTTCAGCCCGGCCGAACTTAACTGCTTTCTTACTTCTTTAGAATAATAAAGCAAATTTTCCATAAATGAAATCATTTGACAATATTACAGGACAAGCAGTAGATTTTGTGAATAGGATAGAGCTAGGCAGTACATGTTGAATCGAGCTGGTAGACCAAGTTTTCAATCATGCGCTGGAAATAATTAACAGCTCGTTCTTAAATTCTTAATTGAGAAATGTTGAACTCAATTTTTAAAATATTTGGATCCACAATAACACAACCCTACATCCACTATACTATATCGACTACAATATTTCCCCTTTGCAACTCCTCGAAATACTCATATTACACCCCGCAAAGTATATATACTGTGTATATCTAATTTACAATTTTCTACAAAAACACTGTGAACATCTAAATACCTACTGTAAGTATTAATATTAGATAAAACTTATAGGGTACCGTTACGTGGTAGGACTTATTTCCTTCAATAACACACAACGCCAAATTATATATAGTTTAGTATATGAATGCATCTGAATGGGTTCAAATACTCAAAATCGAGTGATTCCCATTGAAGATTTTTGAAGGGAGAAAACATACCTTACGATAATCCACGTGGATTTGTTTGAACATTTTGGCCAAAGTTTAACAAGTCTTAAAATCAGAAGGAGCCGTTACTGGTCAAGACCCTTAAGATTTCAAAAAATCAGGAAGTGCCGTTAAACGAGTAGGTTCGCTCTCTCCTAAACGTGTATCGGTAATCCCCCTTTGTATATCCTAAACCATACTAAGGAGCGTATAAAACTTTATCATTCTGTTTCCTAGAAATAGTTGGACGACATTCAAAGGCGAATAAGCTATGTCCGACTGTTGTAATCATGCTATATTACGAACGAATTGGGATATAAGACTATTCTTGCATGCAAACATGTATTCTATCAGAAGGCAGACCAAGTTCGTAAATAGATCATGTCGGTCCACGTTTTAGTGCTGGTCTCATGTAACGGCATATGTCGATATTTCGAGGTTTGTGGTTTAAATCGTCAAAATACGAATATCGGCAGAATTTTGAATTAGCGATGTCCACCTCTCTCTTGTAATTACGCTATCTGTTTAACGAATTGAGGTTTACGGCACCAATAGGCAGTCGATTCATGTCGGTAACGATTTAAGACACATTTTTAACGGAATTCTTTAAACTTCGGTACTTGTTTGCGTTCGTAATGGGTTCTATCTTCCGTGGCAGAGCATTTTCTATACACGTCCCCGTTTATCTAACGCTAAGTTTATGTTCAGGGGTACGAGTTTTGTGTAGCATGGAATTGTGGTTACTTGTCTTAAATGTCGGCAACGATTTAAGACAAATTTTTAACTGAATTCTGTAAACTTCGGTACTTGTTTGAGTTCGTAATGAGTTCTATCTGCCATGGAGAGTCTTCTCTATACACGTCCACGTTTATGTAAAGCTAAGTTTATGTTCTGGGGTACGAGTTTTGTGTAGAATAAAATTGTGGTTTTCTTTCTACCTTAATGTGGTAAATGTTGTTGTTTAACCAGTGCAATTTCAATTGGGCCCTTTCGCTCCTACAATTTTCAATCTAAGTGTCAATTAGAGCAAATTTAAGTGCCCCTTTGTGAGTTAATATTGTTGAGTATCAATGTTGTGTGATAATATACCGTAATTGTATTGTGTTTACAAGTGTGATTTTTATATTTCAATATCATTGTTTGTCCGAGTAAACATAACAAGTATTTCTTTTTTCGTCATAAATTTTTAATTTAAAATCTTAATATCAAGTGAAACAGAAATACAATAACTATTTTAAAAATGCTTGTATGGTTTTAGTTAACTTTTGGGCTCAATATTCCTTTTTATCTTATTTGGAAAGAATTCAGTAGAATAAAAAACAACTAATTTTGTTCTATAATTTTATAAACAAATAGCAAATAATTACATTTGTTTATATCCTTAAAACATTTTAATTTCCACATCTCTTTACAGATATTTTAATAATATATAGCTGACAATGCTAAGTGAAATTCCACAGTTCAATATGAAGAATCAGATAACATAGTTTTAATTAATTCATTCTACTTACTGAACTATTAAAAAATTCTTAGTCAAAAGCATATGGAGATAAACAAGCAAGACGTTATCAAAATATGGAAAAAGATAGTTTTAAAATTGCATAACCTAATCCTCCCTTCCGGCGAGGTTCCTTTGTCTAGGAGATGAAATCATAACTTAATTAAGTCAGGGAGGATTTTCAATCGCGAAAGACCTTTGCATAGGAGAATGAAAACCTGTTATACAAACTGAAAATACAACAGATGTTACCAATAGAGTTTTCTTGCCCACCATGAATATAAAAATAAAAATGTAAAGACAATAACAATTGTTATTTAATGTAATATAGCTACATGATAGAACTTTTTTTTATAAATGTTGAGTTTTAGTACAAAAGTACATTAGAGAGTTAGTACAAAAAGGAAAAGAAATAATATTGATCGTTAATAAATTTATAAATTGTAAAATAAAACTCCCACCATTTCTTATTGTACATAATTTAAACACTCGAATACATACAGGGTAAGATAAAGAAACTGCAACAATGCCAAGCGCCATAATTTTTACATTTTTTTAAATTTTATTGAATGAAAGCAAAAAATGTCGGAAATAGTATCAAATTTAAGAATAAATTTAGATTTGTTCGAATTGGTCACCTTTGGCGCGAATTGTGGCCTTCAAACGGCCAATGAAATCGTCACACGCTGCCCGAATGTTGCTCAGAGGTATTTTGGCCCATTCCCGGCAAGCGCTTGCTTGAGGTGTTCGACACTTTGGTATTTTTTTCCTTACTTTCCAAAGTACTCTAGACACAATAGTCCAACGGATTGGTATCTGGAGATTTTGTTGGCCATTGTGCGCTGGAAATGAAGCGAGGAACCCCAAGGCTTTAATACACCCTCCAGAACATTTTCGCCATAATATTTGGTATTTATTCTGATCACCATAGCCGGCGCTTGACTTCTGTTGGCCAACTGAAGCCTTTGGAATTTCAACGGCTTTATCCTGAACTCATTTTTCAACATTTGAACATTTTGAAAAGATTTATTCACATTTTAAATGATGGATGATGGAGCTCTAACGATAGCCGCTTGTGGTTTTCCAGCCAAATATAAAGAAATCACACTATCACGCTTGAATTCCATCGCGAATAACGCTTTTTGTACGCTTGTAAACAATATAATAAGCTGTCACTGGAATAATTTTAACAGCTGTCGGACAAGTGGCTTGGAAATGAAGTTGGTTGCAGTTTTTTCGTCTGACCCTGTATATTATTAGATATCAAAATATTCCATTTGCAACTCATCGTGTATAATACCCTTCCATTTGTATAATACCCTTCCATCCTTAAATGATTTGAGATTAAGTCCATTGCCGATGTTCTCATCAGATTTATCTTGACGAATATTCTTCATGTTTCTTCTTGACAATCCTGACTGAGTTAACTGATTTCGGTATTGATAAGCAATCAGTAGCTAATGCAACTTACAGCACTAAGTACTGTTAATCTCGGTAATAAAGGAAGAAAACCTAATATTTTTGTTACTTATACGAGGGCGGTTCGAAAACTTCTTACCCTGTCAAATAAAGAGAATAGTTAGTTCTTCAAAACCATTTATTTTTCAATATAATCTCCTAAAACTTTAATACACTTAGTCAAACGCTTTTCTAGCAATTCTATCCCTTGATTAAAATAGTTTTCCCCAAGGTCTTCAAAATATTGGCTTACAACTGCATCTTCATTTGAGGTAAAACGCTTGCCAGCAAGATTTTTTTTTTAGATTTTGGAACAAATAAAAGTCACTGGGAGCTAAATCAGTTAGTTCTTCGAAAACATTTTTATTTTTCAATATAATCTCCTAAAACTTTAATACACTTAGTCCAACGCTTTTCTAGAAATTATATCCCTTGATTAAAATAGTTTTTCTCAAGGTCTTCAAAATATTGGTTTACAACTGCATCTTCATTTGAGGTAAAACGCTTACGAGCCAACATTTGTATCAACTGCAATAAGGACCCCACCAGTGATATTAACTGTTTCAGTGATATTAACTGAAACCGGTTGTGGAACAGTGTTCTCCACAGAAACTATTGCTTTGCGACTAGGCATTCCCTTAGTTGGTGCCTTTTTCGCAGCCCTTTTGCGTTTCTGGCCAGAAACTGACGGTGACGACACAAGCTCATCTAATTCTTGGTATTTCTCAAACAATGTAGAGAAATTCTCAAATCGGAGTGATGGTGAGGAAATTCTTTTTTCATCGATGTCAATTCCGACTGCAAATCGTTTACAAAATTATAAAAGTCTGCAGAGAGTTTCCTACATTGCACACAACACCAATGAACACCAACATTATTTCTAATTGTGTCTACAACTTTTGCATTAATCCTAGCACATTTTGCATGCCATTGATTAAGACAAAACCAACAGGTAACACACAATTCATCCTCTGCAACAATATTACACAATTCAAAAGGGCACGACATTTTTTATTTTAATTATTATTTATTTTAATTATAGTTATTTCTTTTTTAATACACAAGTTACAACTATATTTTTCAAGATTAGATCTGTAGCTGGATTTTTTTTATTTATTTATTTTATTCTTTTTTAAATTCTTTTTTAAATGTTGGCAACTCTTATGAGATGACAAACAAAACAAGACGA